CCAGCTGCACTGCACATCTGGGGAAGCTTCTCCCTCACTGCTCTGCTCTAGCCCTGCCCAACCATGCTTGCTGCAGCATCACAGTGAAGAGCTCTGTAAAGACACAGAGAACCCTATGGGTCCCAGTGTAGGGAATGCTTTCCCAGCTCTCCCTGGTCTCATACTGCGGTGCCTGCCTGCAAGGCAAAGCCAAGTGCTCACACATATGGGAATCAGAGCACAGGAAAGGTAATCCCACTTTGACTGTCTCAGCAGTGGAAAATACCGCTGTGATTTGGATGAAGCACAGTCCAAAATAAAGCACAGGTGCAGGGCGTCTATATTCTGGTGAGCCTAACTTGAGAAACCAGGTGTTTCCTCCTGAAAATGTTGGTCCTGAGGAACACAGCATTTGTGGTCCTGCCTATGTCACTGAAAACTGTTCCGCTATTTTTTGATTTTTACTTTTTAATCTCACTGTGTTATGCTGTAATGTACAATTTCTCCCTCCTTTCTTTTGGGGAAGGAGGGGGTAGAAAGGACAGTAAAATAACGTGTAACTACTTGCTAAAACACATAGACTTGAATCTCGTATCTCATATACTTCAGGCAAAGTAAGAAAAAGTCTCTTTTCAATAGTGACTCTAATGAAAAGGATTCAGGAATGTGCTGATTTATTTTCCATCTATGTGCTCTTAATCTGCATCAGTTATTTCAATGGAACACATATTGCAATCACACTTTCCTGGTTGTTGTTCTACTGAGGCGCATAATAAATGTTGTGAGATATTGTGCAAGAGAAAGAACAATACTTTGAGCTAAATGTGCTGTTAAATTAAAGTCTTTTCTTGAGCAGTGAAAAGGTCCTGAGGCTTTTCATGTCAGTGACATAAGGTAAGGCACACTGAGCATTTTTTATTTTTCACCCTTTTGAGACTCACAGCGTGATTCTAAAGCACTGGAAAATAACAATACCTTACATTGCAAATATTCAAAGATATCTGCCATGAAAAACACAAGCACAACCCCACACCACTCCGAAAAATGTAAGGTCAAGTATTTAAGGGTGTCACATTTCCTCTGTGATACACTGGGGGAAGTCAAGTGGCAGTTACCTCCATCCTTGCCAAATCATCCCAAAAAGAAACGCACAAAATTGTTCAAAGAGCTTAATGTGCATTTTTTAAATGAATCCCGGTGTATAATTTCCTAAAGGATAGGAATCAATTCTATTTTGTGCTCTGAAGAATTCTATTAAACCTTTAGAGCACTTTGTGAAATGTGAAAATGCAGTTTGCTAAGGAGATAGCCGAGGTGGTCTGCAGTAAATTAACCCGGTACTGCTGACTGTTGCCATTCTTTGAGCCTGCTCCCAGGGATTTCTATGCTTACAGTATAACACCATTTACCAGCTTCTAAACTAGATTTGCCCTCTGGCTGCAAGTCAGCAGACCTTAGTGTAAAACACGGCCAGAAATTAGTTTGACTTAGAGTTGCATTTCAAGACCAGAGCAGTGCTGCGTGTTACAAACAACTAAGAACCAACCATTACTTCCAATCCTGTTGTTTTCCCTAGCGGACTTGGTGTAGTTAAGTTTGAGGCCGTCTGGCTGCCATGGCTGCTGCCCTGCCTGGCTGCTGGTTGGCGTTCAGTCCATTACAATGGATCCCTCTCTCCCTAGCTTTGTAACAATTAACCTCAGACAGGAGCTAACTTCATTTGCATGGTAATGAGGCATTCATCCGAGCCACGTCGAAGTTAAGCATGCTAATAAGTTTTTATGCAAGCACCTGAGGGGTCAAGCACAACAATGGACTTGGAAGAGAAAACCTTTCATTAAATGCAAATCACTTCTCTTGTAAATACTACGGCAGAGAACTTCGTAGGACTCTAACACAGCTCGCAAGAATGGAGTCATTTAGGTTAGATTTTCAGGGCCTCAGGCAGACTGAGGAACATAGCCACTGATCTATTTATATTTTGAATTAATATCAGATTGGGTGAAATCCTCATTACAGCATCAAAGCAGAGAAAGTCCTACATGAAGGTAAAGAGGAGAAAGCAACAATATTGCCTCATATTTCACAGATTTGCCACGGTTTCCTGGGATGCAGGAAGGCAGATAAGACATTACTGCTATACAGTGCAACAAAAGACTGCAGTATTTTGTCAGGTTTCCATCTCCTTTACCTACATGATGTTGTCAGGTGTGTTGTGGGGGTAGGCACATCTCCTAGTGAGTACACTCTCATTTTGGTCTCTGCCTTGCACTAAAACTTCACGAATCCATCCAATTCACATTCTACATGCAGAGATGGAGGTTTTGGGTAGGACAAGCAGTACAAGATATTAGCAAGACAAAAAGCGGCAGCCAAAAATCCTTGGGACTGAAGGAGCAGAACACGGACAGGATTTTTCAGTTAAAGATTCCTCAGGAAGGAATGAAAGGAAGAAGCTGATTCACTGAAATCCAGCACAGCCAAATGCGGACTCCTGCTCAGGCGAGGCTGTTAGCAGGACAGACTGACCTGTTCTGACAGCACAGCCACTGCCAGGGGAGCAGTTCTGGCCAGAGATTACAGCAGTGAAATACGGGCAGCCTTCTGAAAAGATGACCTCATGGCAAATTGTTAAAGGTTTTGCTCCTAGCCTAGAACAAGTGAATTTAAATATCCAGTGGGAATAGAGGGAGCTGCTCTATCTTTATGACAAAAACGCATAGGGAGGTCTATACAGTAAGAGTAGGCTCTATCGTTGAGATGTAAGTAGTCCTTGTCAGTGCAGCTGCTGTACAATGAGCTATTTGGGTGGAACATTTGGGTGATGAATAATACCCAATGCCCCAAAGCAAACCCAAGGCAATGGATCTGATTCACAACTTAGCGTTGTGCTATGTCAATTTGCTTAATCCAGACAAATTATACCCACCTTGTTACAGACATTAAACAGTGACACAACAACTGCATGCTCCCCAAAGATCACCTTCACCGCATGAGATACCACTGTCCTCAGTACAACTGCTAAGTATTTTAATTTTGCTGCTGATCTACTTATGAAATGTAAAAGCAACTGCTCTTTCCACTGTACAAACATCATAAAGTCTAGCTATTTCTTTAAAAAGAACTCAGATGAAATTTGAGTTTGTGGGGAGTAAGTAAGGATGTTTGAAGGTAGACAGCCAAGAAAACTAAGGAAACAGAAAGGAATATAATACAGTGAGAAAGGAGAAATCGTGCTTATTCAGAGCTCATAGTTTACATTAATCTGTGTGGGCCACAGATGCAATGGAATTTTATGTCTGACTTGCAAGAAGTGCTTACAGCACCAATCATCATCATTTCAATCGCTATGTTCTATGAGCCTTAAGTCTGCTTCCAAGACAGAGATGAAGCTGCCTGACAACCAAGGGAGGAACTCACCTGAAGTCTACGAAGGGAACCAGAAAACTGTGGAAGCAGCACACTGATGAAAAGAAAGGGGGAACATGTAGTGCATATGTGGGTTTCCGGGCCAAGTCAAGGTAGAAATAGAAAAAGGGAAGACTCAAAGTCTACACTAAAAGGTAAAGTACATAATAATAACGTAATACAGCTGAGAAGCAATGGCTGAATCACAGAGCAGAATACTCTAGAAAAGAGCTTTCATCAAGAAAGCTTCTATACATGTGATAGGCATTCTACCAAACAAAGCCAAGTTTCTTGTAATAACACTAAGAAAAAAGTAATTAAGGAGTGCTTATATAACACATTCAGTTTTTGAAATAGAAGAACTTAGTTCTGGAGTAAGGAGAATAGTTTCAGTCCATTTTTAAATTACATGGTAAAAATGCAACTAAATTGTATATAATATTGTAAAGGAAAGCGTTAAAGTCTATCCATCCAGATCTGCTCCACTGCTCAAATATTTAAGTCATGGAAAATGCCAAGTGTTCACTTGGAACCACAAAGATACACTGACAGAGCATTTCTTGGTGTACCTTTTGGCATTCAGGTTTGAAAAATCTCAGTTTACCATTCAAATCTCAACATAGTGTTTCCTCTCAGTTATGTAAAACAAAACAAAAAAAAACAACAACAAAAAAAAAATCCCACCAAACCATAAAGCTACTAAATTCCTCCTGTCAATTATCAGAATCTCTTAGCAGTAAAATACTCTGCAAAATACACAGATAAAGGAAATATACTACTAATTACTCCCTGTATCTATTTCTTCTCCTTTGTTAAATATTTTCAGACAAAAACACTGAACAACTTGAGCTGTCTGAGATCTGCAGGCTGTCATTAACAGGAAGCAGGCATTTCTTCAGTTCAAGACATCATGTTTATTTTATTTGGTCTGTCATTTCTTTGCTTCTTTGTCGCATTTCTCCAATTCAGTACTAGGAACTATCAGACTGCTAAGAACAAAAACCAGAGAAAGACAAAAACTAGAAAAGGAAGATCTGGAGATCACGCTGTTGAAAGCATTTTGTCTTATAAAAATAATAACCATCACGTTGTCATTGAAAGAAGGCTGGTGCTGTTAGAAAATCACTCTTGTATCACATGTTTACTGCGAGTTCTAGGGAAAATGAACACTTAACCATAAGCAAACCAAAAATTCATAAAAATAGAAAATGCTATCATAGGTTCTGTAAAGTGACCCCTGAGCACCAGTGACCTTTGGTGACTGTTTCCACTGACAACCATTACATACATTTCCTTTCCAAGACTCTCCTCATTATTAGATGAAAACTCTGACGCTCAGAACCAGCTCAGAAAGAGAATAGACTTTTACTTTGCCAGGAAAGAGTACAATGCACAGGAAACGCAGAGTGTGGTTTCAAACAAAGGTATTTCCCTTCAACTCCAGTGTAGATTTTAAATATAACAGTCTTTGCCCTGCCATGTTGTCTCAGCCTGATTTCATATGTTTCAGACTAAACATTCAGCTGATGTTTACTCTTTCCACGGTTTAAATATCAAAGTCCATAATCTTTAAAAAAAAAAAAAAATTGGGAAATTTACATTTTATTCCATACCTCATTGTGATTCTTGCTTAACCATTCCTTAGTAGTCGTAAGGGCAATATCAGCAGCAGGCTCATTTGGAAAACCTGAAGACAGAAGAAATGAGAAATAAATTGAAGGTAGACATTTTTCTCCACCTATAAGAAAATGGATTCTGTTCCCACCTTCTTTGGTCTAGGTTTGGGATTACTTTTGGTCACCGTTTTATTTTAAAGATTGTTTTTAAAGGTTTTAGGTGACATTATTTATTCTTTTTCAAGGTAAACAAATTGAAAATAGGACCAGTGATTTTCTATTAGTGTTTTTTATTTGACTGTTTGTTTTTAGCTCTGGTTAGGAAAACTCAGCAGCTCTAGAAACAACAGAGAGTTATACATGTGTCATACTAGGCAGGCAACAATACAACATACATCACAGTAACAAATGCTGGGCTTACATCTCATGGCTCAAGTTCTTTCTTTAATCCATCTGTCAGCAAAGCTATACAACACTATGATCCCAGTGCCATAGGTCTCATAAGGATAAAAATGCTTGACATATAAATCTCTTAATTTATGACCAAAAACATAACAAACAACTTTGGAAATTAAAGAATTCATGAAGCATAAGCACACAAATTTAAGGCCTGATATTGCATGATATACTAGCAATAGCAACTCCCCCCAGCAGTAAACAATATCAGAAATCTTTCCAGGGATGCAGACTTTTTGCTTTGATGGTCTCTATCTATCATATCTAAAGATGCTTTCATTACTTAGGCAGCCTTAATTTAATTTTCCTTTAAAATCCTAACTTGAGGGCAGCAAATCATTTCTGTGAGGATTTAAATATAAAAACCCATAAGCTGTATGAATAGCCCTCAGTAGGTTAGATTAATAGAACAGCCTTTGAAGAGGTGGAGCTGCAGGCACTGCGTACAAGCAAGCAAAGGGGCTAGACAGAAACAGGCATGAAATCTGGCACACAGATGCATGCATACAGCATTTTTTACATCATACATCACCCTCACGCCATAAGCTGAAGTACAGACACTGCAAAAAGCAGTAGATGCACCCGGCTTTTTGACGTGGCTTGTTAGCCACCAAAACCTATGTTTTTAACTCTTTTCAGAATTTACGCAGTGCTAGACTGAAAAACAAACAAAATCTCTCTGCCCTCCTTGAGTCATGCCACCAGCATTACTCCCCATAACTGAACTGGATTTGCAAGGATTTTTTCATCGGCATTATTTTCAAGAGACAAATGACAGCTACCCAACAAGCTGGGTAGAATAGTCACTGTTTGAGTTCACCTCCTTTCTGTATGTTTCTTCATATAAAACATAGACGTGTTTCTTTTTTTCCAGGTCCAAGAGGAAAAATTAGCCAAAATCCTACAACTATTACTGTGGATACGTCCACCATTGCTGAGAACACAAACTCCCATGCCATTTAATAATAATGCTGCTATCATCAAGGCATGTGACCAAAGACACAGACTAAGGAATGATGCAATGGTTTTATTTCACAGTATCGCAAAATCACAGAATTGCAGGAGTATGAAGGGACTCAAGAGATCACTGAGTCCAGACATCCTTTTAAGGCAGTTCCCTACAACAGGTCACACAGGTAGGCATCCAGATGGGCCTTGAGTATCTCCACAGAAGGAGAGTCCACCACCTCTCTGGGCAGCCTGTTGCAGTGCTCTGTCACCCTTCCAGTAAAGAAGTTCTGCACGCTTGTATGGAACTTCTTGTGTTCAAGTTTTAGGTCATTACTCCTTGTCCTATTTGCTACACACCACTGAGAAGAGCTTGGCCTCATCCATTTAGAATCCCATCTCCCTTTAGAAATTGATAAACATTCATCAGATCTCCTTTAAGTCTTCATTTCCCCAGGGTGCACAGCCCCAGGTCTCTCAGCCTTTCCTCACAAGGGAGATGCTCCAGGCCCTTTATCATTTTTGTGGCCCTCTGCTGCACTCCTTCTAGGAGATCCCTGTCTGTTTTGAGCTGTTTGAGCCCAGAACTGGACATAGTGCTCCAGGTGCTGCCTCACCAGGGCAGAGCAGAAGGGGAGGATCACCTCCCTTGATCTGCTGGCATCACCCTTTGTAATGCACCACAGGGTAACACTGGCTTTCTTGGGCACAAGGGCACGCTGCTGGCTCATGGCCAGCCTGTTGGCCACCAGAACAACGTATTTAGGTCATGTAAAGTAACAGACCTCCAAGCAGACAGTCCATTTGAATTAGTAACATCCTATCTAAGAAACCACGACTTTATAATACAGAAATTCTGCACCAAGAGTTTGGTAGGGTTGCCTAAACATGAAATGAAGACCATGGAGAGAGAGAAAAGCAGATTTCAGACAACTAATAAACCATTGTTTATGCTCTGAATGGTTCATTTTCAGAACAATCCTCCCTCCAGCAAGATTCACTTATCAGGCTTGTTTTTCTATTCACCTTCAGTATGGTATTTGCCCAAAACTGTAAGAACACGCTAACAACTTTATAGAATTATTGCTCTCTCAATACATTGTGCATTATTTAGGAAACTGCTGCCATACTAACCAATCTTAAATAGAAGCTTATCTGCAAGACTGGTGTTCAATTCCTCTTAAGTAACCACAGACGTAAAATAAATAAAATACAGTAGATCAGCAATAGAAATAAAAAGCTTTGAACCTCGTGTACAATTTCAGAAAATAACTTAAAATCTACAGAAACCTTTTATGATGACAACTACTATTAAACAAAAAAAAAAAAAAAATCTACTTAGTGCTTCATACAAATTTCTGGTAAAATTAAATAAAAGGATTATCTTTTTGGCTTTATGCAGAACGAGACGGAATTTGGCCTCCTGTTCCACACCGTGCACCAGCACAAAAAGCCCTGTCTCTCTGATTCTCTAACAGAAAAATATTTGGTTTTGTAGGACTGGGCTAAAGGGAGATAAAGTGAGATGGGCTCTTTTTAAGCCTGTTTTTGCATTGTTATTTATTTATTTCTGAGCTGCATTTGTCTGCCACAACATTTCTGGCCCGCTCCCATACACACACACAGCCCTCCCCACTTCGCTTTCAGCAAAAAAGCAATCTCAGTGAGCACGTGGGAATCAAATTACTGGAGAGAAATAAGCTCAAGGAGCCTCACAGTTAACCGACTCCTGGAGCAGCAGCTCAGACAATTCTGGCTAAAGGCTCAATTTCACAAAAGATAAAACAGGTAAAGTAATAAGAGTGACACTGGCCCATGTTACTGCAGTGAGTGCTCCTCTGGAATACTGAAAAGGACAGGGACACAAAAAGGCAAAGGAGCATTATCTGTAAGGTGCAGACAAGCAGAGCCTCTGAAGGACTTCACTGGGTTTGTTTGGTTATAGAAAAAGGGGGGTTGGTAGGCTGTATGTCCGTGATAGGTGTGAGGTGAAGCATCTACTTACCAACGCACACAGGTCTCCAACACAGGCTGTACTTCCTACATTCTGCAGTGGCAAAGCTTACATTTTGGCAACAGATCCTGCTATGTCACCAGAACATGACAGGTTGTCTTTGCTCCTGAAAAGCTCTTCAGAATGGGGTAACACCGCTGCAATGCCCATTAACCACAGCTCATCATCATCTGTTATCAGGATCAACTTTCAATCTTCCAACCGTGGCAAACACTGAAGTAAGCAGTCACTGCCACTTGTGCCCCTCTCAGTTCAGGAACCCTCTCTTAAAGAACAGCCTTCTTCATTACTGCTCGTGCTGACTTGCTATTGCAAAATGTCTAAAAATTACTTGGAATCCTGGAGGAAAACTCTCATGGTTTTGCCCAGTTGCTTCACAGCTGAAGTCATCTGTGTGACGTGTGAAGTCAGCCCAGACAGGACAGCCATACATACATACAGAAAAGTGACTGCTAGCTCTCAACACTGACCTTGGCTATCAGCATCACTCTAATTACAGCCAAGCTTAGGAATTTCCTTTCCTCCTCTTTGCATGTTGCTAAGAGATGTCTATTCCCCTACTTTCACTCTCTGTTTCACGGTTATACCTCCAAACTGCCAACAAATAAACAACAAAGCAACAACAAAAACAAGTTCCAAATGAACTCTGATGCTTCTCATGTGTCCTTGGGCAGACATTAGCCACGGAGACAGTCTATGAAAGCTTTAAAAGATCTTCTGACTTACGAGCTTCTGCACCTGCTTCCAGGACTTTATCACCTTAGTCCTGGAAATTATCACGCTGACCTGAGAAATAGTGGTGAAACAAACGGGATGTTATGCAGGCTCTCATGGTCATAACTTCCCAGAGAAGGGGTGATAAAATTTTACAGAACTGTTTCAACACATTAGATATTAAATAATTGTGCTCTTCTAGAGAAACAAAGTATGGAGAGGGACTGAAGAAGACAGTAAGCGTGGAGACGCAAGCTGAAGTTCCCCTTCTATTTCTATTTATTCCCTTGAAAACAACTGCTGAGAACATTCAAGTCCCCCTGTTTTATTAACATTCAAAAAATATGCAATGAATTCCCTGCTTTTTGACACACAGGACAAACACCCAGCCTTTTGTGCTGAGGGGATTTAGCGGAGAAACATTCACACCGTTGTGAATGTCTATTACTGCATGCCTAATTTGTCTGTGTAGTATTTGGAAAATGTATACTACACGTTCTTCAATGAATAGCAGCATAACATGAATTCTGTGAGATAAAATTAATAGAAATCTATTTAAGGGACTCAGACTGTACGGAGGTGCTGGGAGCTTTATCTGCCTCTTTTACTGTCCTCAATTCACTGCTACATGTTATTAAAAATGTCCAGCTCACAGACAGGTAATGCTGCCTCCCCATGAAAAGTCCATTAAGAAAACCTAAGTACTAAATAATGAACCCCTAATATGATATAGCTGAAGATGATGATAACGGATTATAGCTGTTAGGTTATAACGCTAACAAGCAAACGTCAATCCAGAAAAACACTTCAGTAGCCACAGGGGTCAGTGTTAGAGTCTGTCAGTTTAACTGAGATGTTTTCAGTACATCAGCTCATCCTAAATTAAAAAAGAAAGGAAAAAAAGGTCTTTTTTTTGTTGGCACAGTCTAAATGCTACAA